TTTTATTCATTTAATAAATTAAACACATCTCCTAGAAATCAAGTTCATTAAGATGGACTTGTTTCAAATAAACAATTAACTATATTACTAGATTCATTTGTTCACATAACGTCATAATTTATCACTCGACGCTGCATTATCACAACCAATGGGTAAGTGAAACCACCTTCTATTGACTGGCACTGTAATTGAAGTTTCCCAACCACCCAACCAGAATCCCCACCTGGTAAGTTTTACTTTATACAAGTTAAGCTCCAAGTTTGTACCCGATCAAATTGATATCCACATAACTTAAGTTGTTGAAATATACAGGTGAATTACTTCTGTTAAAGTCCTCACAGGAATTCATATATTCATGACTGTGAGGAAATCTTTGGACAAGAATTCAGTACTACAATCTACTTTTGCCTTGCATGTACAAGGTTTGGTACACAGCCCCAATGATTTTAGTCATGTTATTGCTTTGCAGTTCAAGCCTTCATCAGTTCCTTGGGGTGGTAGTACCCATAACAAGCCTGTAACTACCAAGTGCACAGTGAAACTTAACGAAAAGACTTGGATTCGATGTTGGATTGATTTTTGCTTGACCATTGGATGTATTTTCATCAATGCAACATCGAATCAGCCTGCTTTTTCCCTCACATTGGCCAAAAATTCAGAAAAAAGCCTCGAAATCATCAAACAAGAAAAATTTCAAAAAAAGAATTGAAATTTAAATGAGGAAAAACTGAGACATTAAAAAAAAATCATAATTACAAGATTATGATGAATGTAATATGCTATCTCTACTTAAAACTAAAATATTAAAAGCTGGTGCTCCACTATAAGTTGCAGACCAAACAACGTTCAATAAGCTACTAAATATCACAGTAAAAGTTATGTCTCAGGAGAAAACCTGTCTCTTTCACACAAAACAATTTTTCCTTTTTTTTCATCTCATCATATTTACCTAAAAATCTCTAAATTAAAAATTCATTGATGAAACAGGCTTTTCTGGACATTACTTTGCAAAGGAGAAAAGTATTGCTGTTGTTCGTAAAGAGAACGGGACGACTATGCCATATAGCACTGGGTGAGCTAAACTTTTAAAGAAAACTAAGATTCCAATTTTGTAATAGTTATACATAATATATGACCCGATTTCGATTGAATTAAGTGAATAAATAAACTCTACGTAAGGTGCTATCTACTAGAACCCAAGTTGTCCTAAACGTTGTACAGACAATTTTCTTTTCATAGCTGCAAATTAAAGTGGCACCGGGTACTCACACACATTCATTCACACATGTATACAACATACACTCATTTACATATGTACAAAGAAAATGCCTGATGAGGTTCAGACAGATTATGAAGACTTCTTGTTGATAATGGTGGCCATGTTGTAGTCCTCTTTGCTCATGTCCTTGTCACCCCAGCCCCACACTTCGTGGGAACCGTCACCGGTCCTCTCCACGCGGGTCTTGACCATAGCGGCGGGGACGGTCTTTAGGTCGTACGCCCAGCCAATCCTGGCCATGAAGTCGATGAAGGCGGTGGTGAAGTTGCCCTTGTAGTTGCCGAGCTCGGCCGCCTTGTAGTCCCAGGGGAAGACGTGGTGGTAGTTGTGCCAGCCCTCACCCATAGCACCGATGGACACGGCTAGGTTCTCAGAGGGAGCAATAGACCTGAGAAGAAGAAAAGGAGGGTGAGTTTTCGAAATTTTCATTGAACATCAAGTCGTCATCACGCTTATAGAGGTAAAACTCACTCATCGTAAGGTCGGTTTCCCCACTTGTGGGCGGCACTGTTCACCAGCCAGGTCATGTTCAGGGTGAACACGTAGCGGAACATGGTGGCAACGAACCAGGAGTTGAGGAAGGTCTCGTTCCAGAAGTACATAGGGATCATTGTGGGAATGATGAAGCAGATCACGGGCATCAAGATGAGGTAGTACCTGGAGGAGAACAGGGGACAGGCATTAATTACGTGAACACACGGCGGTGGTTTTGCTCGCGCAGTCCCGCCAACTAGCTGAAGTACTCACTTCTTTTGGAATGCCAGGATGGGGTCGCTCTCGAGGTCGGACATGTCGATGCCCTTGCCCTTGTTGATGACGTCAGGGTGCTTGCGGCACAACAGCCAGCCCATGTGCGCGAAGAACACGCCGCGGTTCAGGTTGTGGGGGTCGGCGTCGGTCTCGGTGTACTTGTGGTGCACGCGGTGGTCGCGGGACCATTCGATAACGTGGTTCTGGAAGGCGATGGTGTTGAAGATGGTAAGCAGAATGCGCAGAGGAACGTTAGCCTTGTACGCCTTGTGGGCCCAGAGTCGGTGGGCGCCAGCGGTGATACCCAGGCCTCCGGCCCAGTACATGACAATAGCTGAAAACAGACACACATGCAAAATTTAGCAACGAAATTCACTCTGTTTGGATTTGAAGTGAAGACAGTTTTATTCTAAACGAGAGTGCGGTAATTCATGCGATCGTACGATCGAGGTATTTCCCTCAAAAGAGGCCCCCACATTAAACGAGTCCTATGGCGATGCTGATGATAGCGCCCGCAACGAGTTGGGTAGGCCAACCCGCCAAGCAGCGGTGTAAAGTTGGCTGCTCGCCCGCACCTTGGGCGCCTAAGTGGATTATGGGAGTTTGGACTCCGGTGGCCTACGATGGAGGCATCTCAAGATCGCCTTAAGAGTTAAGCGTGTCCATTCACTCACCGAAAGCAATGGTGGGCCACATGGCGGAGGTGAGGAGGAGGTAACCGCCGTAAACGGCGGCCAGGTGCATGTAGACGAAGATGGCTACGTTCCTCCACACGATGCGGATCTTGTGGTTGGGGTCACAGGCCTGGGGGACGTGGACATCCATCGCCTTCCCAGCCTTCATGCCCTGGGTGGAGGGCATATCGTCGTCCTCGAACAAGACGCCCGTGGGCGCGTTGGTGATGTTGGGTGCCATGTTAAGCCTGCGGCAGAAAAAAGGAAAAGGGCGATTAGAAACGAGTGACAACAACAAGGGCGTTCGCGCCAAACGGGTTGCCTATGTCCTCGGCACTTTCACCAGCTACCGTTTCTCAGCAACAAACAAGGCTGCTGCATCTCGGTCCCGAGCCTACTCCACATTACCGCCCAGATGCTGGTGGCCTACAGGTAGCCCAGCCCGTTCTGGATCTGGAACCTGCTGGACCGCGCGGCCCGCACCGCGGACGGAGACGGAGAACGCGAAGGGCGAACGACGCCGAGCGCCTCCAACAGCATGGCCAGCGCCTCGCGCGCCGGAGCCAATACAGAAACGAGAGGAAGAGAACGGCGCAAAAGCAACTCGACTAGGAGCCTAGTGTTGTGATCCGTCACATCGACCGTCGGATGTTCTGGACCAAAGCCAGGGGGCCACTGGTGCCAACTGTGCGAGCGCCGGGGGGTGGGTGGTGCTGCGCTGGCGCTGTGCTACCACCTGTAAGGCGGGGGGCTGGCAGAGCGGTGAGGTGTGGAGTCGGTCGGAGCTGGACACCAGAACTAGGGCGTTTCGTGATGAACAGCGCGAGCGAGTTTCGAGCCTTTCACGATGGCGGTCTTGAAAGCGACTCAAAACGTTGACCGTCTCGGCGCGGCCAGGACAACAACTGAGACTGAGATTTGCGAACGTGCTATGCTGCGCAGCAGCTCTGCAGTGGCCCTATTTCCCCGAGAGCGCACTGCCTGCGGGCCTGCGGGGCTGCCGTGACAGCGGCGACAGGGAAAGGAGGCTAAGGCATTGCAAAAACGGCGAGGACTGTAGGGGCGGGGCGGAGCCCTGACCTTGAGAATCAGCTGGGCGGCGGACGGTCGATACGGGAGGAAGGGCAGGGCCAGGGGCCGCGGGGCACGTGACACGTGACCAGGAGCCGTCGCCCTGGCGCGCTCTCACGCTCAAAGCACTCGGCCGCGCCGCAATCTGACTACTGAAGGACCTGCCCACTTGTAATCGGCTCGGACTACACCGCACTCGACTTGGATGGCTTGGATGGGTCACCAATACGGGGGGAATAACAAAAAATTGGGATGTCAAAGTGCGGGCCGCCGTCGCAAGTGACCAGTACACATTTACATTTCGTGGGAGCTCTGGGGCATTTGCCCGTCAATTCTACAGAGTCCACATCCACACGCGAAGAGTAACTATGGGAATCGTCATCAACAAAAATGCTCTGTCGTGGTCGCTAACCCTTCCGCGGTGGAGTCGTCCCGCACGGCGCACACAAGTCGAGAGAACACAGCGGACCGGGGGGACCCTGGCGTGCAGCAGACAACTCACTCGGGGTAGCGGCGGACGGTGTGCTCTCAATGACCGCTGGTCGCTGAGTGCCCTGAGTGCTGGCCGCTGGGTGCGCGCGGTGACGGCGGGCCGATGAGTGATAACGGCGAGCACCGCGGCCGCGGATCCACCGGTGCCATTCGGAGGCAGGCCGTGCCGGCCGGGAGAGGGAGGGGAGGGGGAACGGCGCGGTAGGGCGAGCGGAGGGCCCGCGGAGGGGCGGCGTGGGGGCGAATCGCGAAACCGAGAGAGGGGGAGGGGAGGGGGCAGCCATCAGGATCGCGCGACACCACAGTCATACGAGGTCCACGTGGATGACAACAGAGCCGGGCGATGCGGGGCGGGGCGGGGAGGGGAGAACGGAGGGAGATGTCCATCTCGGGATCACGTTCGGGCAGCGAGGCACAGCACCACGACCACGCCACCCGCGCGTCGTATGGCGAGGGCATCCAGGGTCCAGGCGCGGGGACACGCAAGTCCACAACCAGTGCCCCACCCCAGCCCCCCCCCC